TCAAGAATTCAGTTGGGGCCGGGCACAGCAGCTCACGTCTGACATCCGAGCACTTTTGAGAGGCCGAGGCGGGTGGATCACCTGAGGTCAGGAGTTCCAGACCAGCCTGGCCAACATGGTGAAACCCCGTCTCCACTAAAAATACAAAAATTAGCCGGGTGTGGTGATGTGCGCCTGTAATCCCAGCTACTCAGGAGGGTGAGGCAGGAGAATCGCTTGAACCTGGGAGGCGGAGGTTGCAGTGAGCTGAGATCACACCCCAGCACTCCAGCCTGGGCGACACAGTGAGACTCTGTCGCAAAAAAACAAAAACAAACAAACAAACCAAGAATTCAGTTGGACACGTTAACTATGTAAAAAGGGGAAAAAAGGTCGGGTGCGGTGGCTCACGTCAGTAATCCCGGTACTTTGGGAGGCTGAGGTGGGTGGATCACGAGGTCAGGAGATCAAGACCATCCTGGCTAACATGGTGAAACCCCGTCTCTGCTAAAAATACAAAAAATTAGCAGGGCGTGGTGGCGGGCGCCTGTAGTCCCAGCTACTCAGGAGGCTGAGGCAGGAGAATGGCGTGAACCGGGAAGCGGAGCTTGCAGTGAGCCGAGATAGCGCCACTGCACTCCAGCCTGGGGAACAGAGAGAGACTCCATCTCAAAAAAAAAAAAAAATTAAGTGCCATCAAGAATGACAGCACACACACACCTCACCCCCACTTCCCCATAACCGAAGAAGGCTGTCTGAATTCCCCCCACGACAGGCTCATGGTGCTTTTAGGACACCAGGCTAAATCGATGACACTGTTTTTCTCCTACGGAAGCTGCAAATTCATTTAGTCATTAATTTGTTCACTCAACAAACAGAACTCAGTTGCTGTGTACCTAATACCAGCCAGTGCCTGCGCTAGGTCTCTGGTGAAAGATCATAAATTCTCAGCCCCAGCCACAGGGAGCTTATGGTCTAGGAGAAACGCTATGACGGACACCTGGGCAGTTCCTCCAACTCAACACCAAGCAAATCTGAATCAGAATCCACGCACTCTCCCCTGTGCCTGGGGGCTCTGGTGAGATGCTTACCCACCACACAGACCGTCAGACACCCAGTGGAGCGAGATCAGCTCTATGCTGGGTCACAAGTCATTTTGTTTTCCCCCCCGCCAATAATTAAAAATATTGAAGATTTGGAATTATATACCTCCAGTAACAAATAGGGGTGAATTCTGGCATCCTTCCGGAGTGGGAGCTGTACAGGAAGCATGTGTGGCATGCACCTGTCCCAAGGTGAAGAGGGCGGCCCCGGACCACACAGCTTTGGAAAATGGTGTGGGCACCAACACAACATAGACCTCCCACCAAATCCAAGCACGTCCAAGGCAATCACATTCCAACGCAGCAAGAGAATTTGTAGTTTACAGTAAAGAAATTCACAATTTCCAGTAGCAATGGCAATGGCAGGTACCAAAGCCCGAGAGAAAACATACACAGTAATTCCTGGCATTCGGTGATGAATTTCCCATTTAGGGTGACAAAAACTTAAGCATCTAACTTCCTTGCTCTGAAATCCTTAAAATTTCTTGATGACTTTCAACATAACAGGCTTAAGAAGCATTTTTTGTTTTTTGTTTTGTTTTGTTTTTTATTGAGATGGAGTCTTGCTCTGTCGCCCAGGATAGAGTACGGTGGCGTGATGTCAGCTCACTGCAACCTCCGCCTCCCGGGTTCAAGTGATTCTTCTGCCTCAGTCTCCCAAGTAGCTGGGACTACAGGCGTGAGCCACCACGCCCAGCTAATTTCTGTATTTTTAGTAGAGACAAGGTTTCACCACATTGACTAGGGTGGTCTTGAACTCCTGAACTCAAGTGATCCACCCACCTTGGCCTCCCAAAGTGCTGGGATTACAGGTATGAGCTACCACGCCTGGCCAGGCTTAAGAATCTTTACCTAACCAGGCAGCTCACGCCTGTAATCCCAGCACTTTGGGAGGCTGAGGTGGACAGATCACAAGGTCAGGAGATCCAGAACATCCTGGCTAACATGGTGAAATCCCGTCTCTACTAAAAATACAAAAAATTAACCGAGCATGGTGGCAGGCACCTGTAGTCCCAGCTCCCTGGGAGGCTGAGGCAGGAGAATGGCTTGAACCCGGGAGGTAGAGCTTGCAGTGAGCTGAGATTGCGCCACTGCACTCCACCCTGGACAACAGAGCGAGACTCCATCTCAAAAAAAAAAAAGAATCTTTCCCTAACCAAAAAGAAGTTTATAACAGCCTGTGCTACATACATGACTACTTAGTTATAAGTTTTCTAAAATTAAAAAAAAAAAGTGAGGCCAGGTACAGTGGCTCACGCCTGTAATCCCAGCACTTTGGGAGGCCGAGGGGGGCAGATCGCAAAGTCAGGAGATCGAGACCATCCTGGCTAACACAGCGAAACCCCATCTCCACTAAAAATCCAAAAAATTAGCCGGGCGTGGTGGTATGTGCCTGTAATCCCAGCTACTCAGGAGGCTGAGGCAGGAGAATCACTTGAACCCGGGAGGTGGAGTTTGCAGTGAGCCATTGCACACCAGTCTGGGCAACAGAGCGAGACTCCGTGACAAAAAAAAAAAAAAAAGAAAGAAAGAAAAAAGAAGCAAACAGCTCTTTTCTAGGAGGGTGGACATGGACATCCACTAAATGTTTTTCCTTCTGCACATGTGCTTTGTTCTTGTAAATTTTACATTGCTGCCTACATAGATATTGCTCACATGTGCAGGTGAAGTCAAATAAAAACAGACAGGCACAGTGCGCCGAGCACTTCACACACATCTAATGCACCAAGTCAGCGGGTGGGCATCCGTGTAGCCTGACAGCTCCACCACGATGCCTGGTAATGCACCCACTGAGAACACGAGCTCCCTGGAGCATAAATGTGCAAGGACTGTATACACTGATAACATTTCATAAATAACAAATCTGCTACTGGCCTATTTGTAGACGATCTGAGGTCGAAATTTTTTCCCCTTGAGTTAAAAAAAAAAAAAAAAAATACTGTGAAAACCTCCTTCAAGATTCACTAAAGCTGGGTCTGACTGGGGAGTGTACCTGTTTCCATGGCTGGAGCAGGAAACCTGAAAACAAGACTGTTTAATGGAAGTACTTGGTGAACCTGAGTTACATAAAAGTGCATCTGTAAAGCAGGCCCCTAAGGGGGTCCTGGGGAGCCTACCTGTCATTTTCTTACTGGAGGGGAGAGTGGCCAGCAAATGCATTTAATGGCCCCAAACAGAAGAGAGTACATTGCTTATGGAAAAGAGAGAACAGAGTAATAACTGAGGCAAAGAACAACTTTGTTATCTCCTGAGTTCTGATTTTACCAAAATGCACACCTTTCAGCAAGGCTAGGAAAAGGTATACTTCCCCTCTCACGCCCCAAGAGGGAGTGAGTCATTGTTGATGTTGCATTGTAAATTATTCAATGCGATATTTGTAACCAAACATGCCAAGACTCTAAAAATGGGGAGAAGTTTACAGACACAAACTTTGGGCCCTGGGAATTACCCCAGCAAAAATTCCCCAGACGCAAGGCGTTTATAAAAGGGAGTAATTAGACAGACAACCCTGGAACAAGAACCACATTGAAGAAATATAAACACTGGTGATGAGTTAGAGGCAATCACTAAATAGAAAAAGAAAGTGGCTCCAGAGGAAATGAGTAATTAAACAGGCTTTCTCCTGATCAACAGACCTTGAGGTCTGGGGCAGAGCAGAGGGTGCGGAGGGCAGGCGGTGGAGCTGGAAAGGAGGGAACCGGAATGGGCAGGAGGTGACCACGGGATGCTTTGAAAAGGCACCAACAGGCCTGGGCAGCCATCCAGGCCCAGCTGGGTCTCTCTGCCCTGGCGACCTCGGGCCCAGGGGAATCTAATTTGAGCTTGGGGTCCTGCTACTCCATCCCAGGAGCACTCACTGGTGAGGTAAACTGAGGCACAGGCTTCCTGTCCTCTCCTCTCCCTGCCAGGCCTCTGCTCCTTCAGCACAGTCCAAACTCCTAGGGACCTTGCACTTCCCGGAGCAACACCCTTCCCACTGTCCTGGGTGAGTGTGCTGGGGTCCCCCAGGACCCAGACTGGATGGTGTCGGGGTGGCCCAAGGGTCCAGACCAGACAGGGTCAGAGGTGGCCACTGGGGTCCAGGACGGCAGGGATCAGGCACTGAGGTGACTTGAAGCCCTGGCTGGTGGGGGTCGGGGGTAGTCCTGAAAACCAGGCCAGGCTGGGGTGACCCTGGAGTTCAAGCTGGTGGGGGTCCAGGGTGACCCGGAAGGGTTGAGGGTGATCCCCAGGCCCAAGCAACAGGGACTGGGGTCAGGGTGACCTCAGTGACCAGCTGGGTGGAGCTGGGGTGGGAGTGGCCCTGCGAGCCCAGGCTTGTGGGGTTAGTGGTCAGGGGTGGCCCCGGAGGGGGTCCTATGAAGTGGGGGTCACGGTTGACCTTGCGTGTTTAGGCGAGGTGGGGACGTAAAAGACCCCAGGGATCCAGGCCAGTAGGAGTTAAGAATGACCACCGAGTCCAGGCCAGTGGGAGCTGGGGGGCAGCAGGGATCTGGGTCAGGGGTGACCTAAGAAGCCCAGCCAGGTGGGCTTGGGGTAGGGGTGGCTCCAGGAGCCCAGGCCGGTGGGAGACGAGGTCATGGGTGACCCCAGGAGCCGCGAGGTGTGGGTAGGGATCGACCCCAGAGTCCAGGCCGGTGGAGGTCGGGAGCGACGGGGTGTCCAGGCCGGGCAAAGTGGAGGAGAATCCTCAGGCCGGAGGGTCCAGAATTGGGGTCTAGGCGACCCCAGGGACCCAGGAGGCTGAGGTCGCGGTTGACCCCGAGGTCCAGGCCGGTCGGGGGTTACCGGGGGTGGCTGGGGGTGGTGGGGGTTCAGGCCAGGTAGGCTGTAGGGGGATCCCCAGGCCTGGGCCTCAGAGATCGAGGTCGGGGGTGAGCCCCGGGTGCGGGCGGCGGGGGTCGCGGGGGCACTCACTGCTTGGGCAGCTGCAAGGCGGGCGCGCCGCGCCGCTGGAAGGCCCCGTCCACGAAGACGCCGTTCTTGCCGAGGCAGCGCAGGTAGAAGTGCGGCTCCTGGAAGCTGAGCTGCAGGTGGCGCCGCGAGATGAAGCTGGACAGGCCCATGTTCAAGTCCACCGAGCCCTGCGACGAGTTGCGGCCGATGGTGACGCTAGGCTGGCGCATGAGGAACTCGAACTCGCGGCCCTCCAGCCGCGCCAGCGCCGGCCCCGGGCTCTGCCGCACCGAGGCGGCCGCCGCGGCTACCAGGGCCGGCGCCGCGCCCGCGCCCCCGGAGTCTCCGGATACCCCGGAGGACCCCCCGGAGGAGCCCCCGGAGGAGCCCGCGCCCGCGATCGCGCCCGGAGGCAGCGGCGGCGGCGGCGGCAGCGGCGGCCCGGGCGGAGGCTGGGGCTGCGCTGGGGCCGGCGGGGGCGCGGCCGCGGGGAAGGCGGCGGCGGCGGCTGCGGCGCACAGCACGGGGCTGCAGGGCGCCGAGCGCAGCGCGAGCAGGGCGCGGGCGCCGCTGTCCTCGCCGACTTCGGCCATGTTCGCGCGGCTCCGAGCGGCCTCCGGCGGCGGCGGCTGCAGCGGCGGCGCGGGGGGCGGGGAGGCCGGGGCGCTGGGCGGGCGCGGAAACCCGGACCAGATCGCGCCGGCGCGGAGCGGAGCCTCCCAGCCCACCGTGCGCCTCGCCCGCCCGCCGGTCCCGCCCAGCGCAGCCCACGCGGCGCGCGCCAGCTGGGGGCCGGGGGCGAGGCCTGTGCTGACAGGGCTGGGGGGCCCCCGGGAGAGCTGGACCCGGCACACCTAGCCCCCTGCCCGCGGGGCTGCAGGCGGTGGACGCCCTTTCCTCCATCGGGGGGGGGAACAGGGGACCCTTGAAATGCCCATCCGGAAAGTTTTGAGCCTAGGTCACTGGAGAAAGGGACGGATGACTTCAGCAGTCTCTCCGCCCCAGCCACTCCAGCCCCCCAACCCTAAAGTGTAAGATAGATAGAAGATAAAATATGTGTGTGTTATATATAATACATATGTTTCTATTTTAATCTCGCTCTGTCGCCCAGGCTGGAGTGTAGTGGCACAATCATAGCTCACTGCAACTTCCACCTCCTGTGCTCAAGGGACCCTCCTGCCTCTGCCTCCCAAGTGCCACCACGCCCAGCTAATTTTTTTACTTTTTATAGAGACAGGGTCTTGCTATGTTGGCCAGGCTGGTCTCAAACTCCTGATCTCAAGAGATCTATCTATCTCTACCTCCCAAGGCACTGGGATTACCCGTGTGAGCCACAGTGCCAGGCCTGATCATTCTTAAACCCTCAGATTAAAGGTCATCATACTTTGCTGTAACTGAAGACCACTTGAGATGGATACCTGAATCCCTGATCCATCCCTCCCTCCCTCCCTCCCTTCCTTCCTTCCTTCCTTCTTTCCTTCTTTCCCTCCCTCCCTCCTTCCTTCCTTCCCTCCTTCCTTCCTTCCCTCCCTCCCTCGCTCTCTCCCTCCCTCCTTTCTTTTCTTTTTTTCTTACTTTCCTTTCCTTTCCTTTTTTTTCTTTTTCTCTTTCTTTCTCTCTTTCCCTCCCTCCCTCCCTTCCTTCTCTCTCGCTCTCTCTTTCTTGTCCTTTTCTTTTGAGACAGGGTCTCACTCTGTCACCCAGGCTGGAGTGCAGTGGTGCAATCATAGCTCACTGCAGCCTCGACCTCCCAGACTCAGGTGATTTTCCCACCTAACCCTCCCAAGTAGCTGGGACTATGAGCCACCATGCCCAACTAATTTTTAATTTTTAATTTTTTTTTTTTTTATTTTGAGACAGAGTCTTACTCTGTCATTCAGGCTGGAGTGCAATGGTGCAGTCTCGGCTCACTGCAACCTCTGCCTCCCCGGTCCAAGCGATTTTCCTGCCTCGGCCTCCCAAGTGTCTGGGATTATAGGCATCTGCCACCACACCCAGCTAATTTTTGTATTTTTAGTAGAGATGGAGTTTCACCATGTTGGTGAGGCTGGTCTTGAACTCCTGACCTCAGGTGATCCACTCACCTCAACCTCCCAAAGTGCTGGGATTGTAGGCGTGAACCACCTTGCCCGGCCTTTTTAAATTTAGTATAGCGACAGGGTCTCGTTATATCACCCAAGCTGGTCTCCAGCTCCAGGGCTCAAGCAGTCTCCCACCTCAGCCTCCCAAAATGCTGGGTTACAGGCGTGAGCCACTGTGCCCAGCCTAGCTCTCTTTCTTTTTAGAACCCTTCATTCACTCATTTGATACGCTAGATCCAGGCAAGACAGATCTGAGAGAATGCCCCAGAGAGAAATGTTAGCTGAAAACAGGGAGTGGCAAACGTGGGCATCATTGAGATCCCTTTGGTACTTCAGTAGCCTGGTCCTCCATTGCCAATTCAGAGCTCCCTAAAAAGGCAGTGCAGTTTCCACATTTCCCTCATTTATGAATTATTAAGGGTGGGAAAGGAGACACAGTTCCCACCCTGATGGAGATTATAGTCGAGGGGGAGATGCAGATATTAAATCAAAGACACATCTAGTAAAAGTAAAATCAAGTCACAGCTGTGATACATCCGGTGAGGGACTAGTGCATGGTGACGTGCGAGTATAGAGGAGAGACTGGGCCTGTCTAAGGCGGGAGCTTCCCTGACCCGCACACACCGTGCTCCAATCTGGGGCTGAAATAGGTATTAATCTCATCTCTCAATCTTGAATATGTGCATGCAAACAGAGATAAGTGTTTGGGAGGCAAGGAAAGCATTTTTTTCTTTTTCTTTCTTTTTTTTTTTTTTTTTTTTTTTTGAGACAGAGTCCCCCTCTGTCGCCCAGGCTGGAGTGCAGTGGCGTGATCTCGGCTCACTGCAACCTCCGCCTCCCGGATTCAAGCGAGTCTTCTGCCTCAGCCTCCTGAGTAGCTGGGACTACAGGCGTGCACCACCACACCCGGCTAATTGTTGTATGTTTAGTAGAGATAGGGTTTCACCATGTTTGCCAGGATGGTCTTGATCTCTTGACCTCATGATCCGCCTGCCTCAGACTCCCAAAGTGCTGGGATTACAGGCACTTTGGCGTGAGCCACGGTGGCCGGCCAAGGAATGCATTTTTAGAAGGAGCAGTAACTAGAGTACCTGCTTGATTGAGGTGGGGAGGATGGTAAACAGAGTCGGGGGCGCCTCCCTGAGGTCTAAGGGATGCCTGATTAGAGAAGTGGCATGGAACTGTGAGGGCAGTGCCCCTGCCAGGAAACTGTGTGTGATAAAGAAGGAAGTATGGGCCGTGGAGGGGTAGGCAGGTGGCCACTGTGTGTGGAACCGAGTGGTCATGTTCAACTGAACCAGGTTAGGCTAAGGAGAGAAGAAGGGCCGAGATGAGTCCTATAGGATCTGGGGCTGATCCGAGAGTAATGGGAAGCCACTGAGGGGCTTTAAGTGCAAGACAGCAGGCACACCGATTGTATCTGAAATGCAATCACTCCAGCTGCCATGGGGATCCTGAACCGGAAATAGGCCAGAATGACGGCGGAGGTTCCTTAGGAAGCTGGAGACCAGCAAGAGAAGCGAAAGGAGAGAGGTGCAGAGAAGCAAAAGGATGCAGGAGATAGTGATCTCCTGCAAAGGCATTTACACACACACTGTTGGTGGGAATGGAAGATGGGGCAGCCTCTGTGGGAAACATCATGGAGGGTCCTCAAAAAGTTAAGACTAGGCAGGGTGCAGTGGCTCACACCTGTAATCCCAGCATTTTGAGAGGCTGAGGTGGGTGATCACCTGAGGTCAGGAGTTTCAGACCAGCCTGGCCAACACAGTGAAACCCTGTCACTAACAAAAATACAAAAAAAAAAAAAAAAAAAAAAAAAAAATAGCGGGGTGTGGTGGTGTGCACCTGTCCCAGCTACTCAGGAGGCTGAGGCATGAGGATTGCTTGAACCTGGGAGGCAGAGGTTGCAGTGAACCGAGATCGCGCCACTGCGCTTCAGCCTGGGTGACAGAGTGAAGCTCTGCCTCAATAAATAAACAAATAAATAAATAAACTAGAGTTCCCATAAGACGCAATGCAGACTTCCACTTCTGGGTTTATACCCCAGAGAACTGCAAGCAGGGTCCTGAAGAGACACTTGCATGCTATGCTCACAGCAGCGTCATTTAGTCACAAGAACCAGCAGGTGGAAGCAATCCAAGCGTGCATTTACCCCTGTGGTACCACATCCAGTGGGGTATGATTCAGCCTTGAAAAGGAAGGAAACTCTGACATACGTGACATGTGAAGGGATGGACTTTGAGGACATTATGCTCAGTGAAATAAGCTGGTCACAGAAAGACAAATGCGGTGTGATTCCACTTCTATGGGGTCCCTTGGGCAGTAAGAGTCATAGAGACGAGAGTAGAATGCTGGGTGCCGGAGAGTGGGAGAGGGGAGACGGGGAGTTACTGTCAAATAGGGACAGAGTTTCTGTTTGGGAAGATGAGAACATTTTGGAGGTGGAGGATGGTGTTGGTTGCATAACACTGTGAGCGTGCTTGATGCCACTGATCTGTGCACTTAAAAATGATTCAGATGGGCCGGGCGCGGTGGCTCAAGCCTGTAATCCCAGCACTTTGGGAGGCCGAGACGGGCGGATCACGAGGTCAGGAGATCGAGACCATCCTGGCGAACACGGTGAAACCCCGTCTCTACTAAAAATACAAAAAACTAGCCGGGCGAGGTGGCGGGCGCCTGTAGTCCCAGCTACTCGGGAGGCTGAGGCAGGAGAATGGCGTAAACCCGGGAGGCGGAGCTTGCAGTGAGCTGAGATCCGGCCACTGCACTCCAGCCTGGGCGACAGAGCCAGACTCCGTCTCAAAAAAAAAAAAAAAAAAATGATTCAGATGGCCGGGCGCGGTGGCTCATGCCTATAATCCCAGCACTCTGAGAGGCTGAGGCAGAGGCAGGCAGATCACTTGAGCTCAAGAGTTCGAGACCAGCCTGACCAACATGGTGAAACTCCATCTCTACTAAAATACAAAAATTAGCTGGGCATGGTGGCAGGCGCCTGTAATCTCAGCTACTCAGGAGGCTGAGGCAGGAGAATCACTTGAACCCAGGAAGCGGAGGCTGTAGTGAGCCGAGAGTGCGCCACTGCACTCCAGCCTTGGAGACAGAGTGAGACTCTGTCTCAAAAAAATATATATATATATGGTTAAGATGTTAAATTATATGTTATGTGTATTTTACCACAATGGTAAAGAGAGAGATTTACATACAATCTCCTCATACAGTCTCTTCCTTTGGACTCATTGAGATGACTTCTGACTTCTTAATGACAGATTTATTTAATGACGAGGCATGTATGTACCTCCAGGCCCCACAGGTCTAACAATATTAAATGTAAAGAATTGTAGGCTGGGCGTGGTGGCTCATGCCTGTAATCCCAGCACTTTGAGAGGCTGAGGCGGGTAGATCACCTGAGGTCAGAAATTTGAGACCAGCCTGCCTAATATGGTGAAACCGAGTCTCTACTAAAATACAAAAATTAGCCAGGCATGGTGGCGGGCACCTGTAATCTCAGCTATTTGGGAAGTTGAGGCAGGAGAATCGCTTGAACCCGGTGGGTGGAGGTTGCAG